GGTATATCGTGTTACAATATCTATCACGTTGGTATGATGTGTTATTTTTTCTATCTCGTTGATTTGTTGTGTTATGATTTCTATCAGGTTGATTTATCGTGTTATGATTTCTTTCACGTTGATATCTCATGTTATGATTTCTATCACGTTGATATGTCGTGTTATGATTTCTATCACGTTGGTATGATGTGTTATGATTTATATCACGTTGATTTGTTATATGATTTCTATCACGTTGATATGTTGTTTTATGATTTCTATCACGTTGATATGTCGTGTTATGATTTCTATCACGTTGGTATGATGTGTTATGATTTCTATCACGTTGATTTGTTATATGATTTCTATCACGTTGATATGTTGTTTTATGATTTCTTTCACGTTGATATCTCATGTTATGATTTCTTTCACGTTGATATCTCATGTTATGATTTCTATCACGTTGATATGTCGTGTTATGATTTCTATCACGTTGGTATGATGTGTTATGATTTCTATCACGTTGGTATGATGTGTTATGAATTCTATCACGTTGGTATGATGTGTTATGAATTCTATCACGTTGATTTGTTATATGATTTCTATCACGTTGATATGTTGTTTTATGATTTCTATCACGTTGATATGTCGTGTTATGATTTCTATTACGTCGATAAGTCGTATTATGCTTTTTAACACGTTGATATGATGTGTTATGATTTCTATCAGGTTGGTATGATGTGTTATGATTTCTATCACGTTTATATATCGTGTTACAATATCTATCACGTTGGTATGATGTGTTATGATTTCTATCGGGTTAATATGTCGTGTAAAGATTTCTATCACGTTGATATCTCGTGCTATGATTTCTATCACGTTGATATATCGTGTTATGATTTCTATCACGTTGATATATCGTGTTATGATTTTTATCACGTTGATATGCCGTGTTATGATTTCTTTCACGTTGGTTTATCGTGTTATGATTTCTATCACGTTGATACGATATGTTATGATTTCTAACATGTTGGTATGATGTGTTATGATTTCTATCACGTTGATATCTCGTGCGTGAATATCTATATTTATCAGGTGATATCTTTTTTTCATAATATTTTTATTACTATGTATTATTATTTCAAAATATAGTCATATTGTCCTCAATGTGCAATGTTCATTGACTTATCAATATTTAATTGTTATGTTGTAATATTTTATCGCACAATGCACAATTAATACATTATGTTGTGATGTTTTCACGTCCCTGTTACGTAATACATGTATATCAAATTTCTATAAATTGAGAGGCAGTTAAGTTAATCTTTATATTTTTGTTTTTACAATTCTTTGTAATTACATTATAAAGAAAATTGAGTTAGCTGCTACCCGTTCATTTTGAGATTGTTTTTCAATTGGCACCCTAACAATTGACAACTGAGATGGATCGTGTGTAGTAGTTGTAACAGTTTGAGACAACACTGGTCAGCTGGCAATTCGCCATATTTATGTACATTTTCCTCATTTTTGTGATGCACATTTCCACAAAAAAACCCAAATAACATCAATTTCAATGTAATTTAACAGAGACAACAGTAGGGTCTATATCCATGAACCCATTTTCATGCTCAAATAAGATTTTGTGTCTTGTTGCAAATTCCAAGCATGTAACGAAAGCCAAGTTTTATCATCGAAGAGAGTATTCGGCTTTTGGTCTCTCCAGTATTTTTCTCTCTAAATCATCGACAAAATGTTGTTTGTTTTTATTAATTATTTATAAATTAATTGTATAGGCCTTAGCGTAGGATCTGCGTATGAATATGAAAACGGTTCCGTAAATATAGGTCCAGCTGTTCACATCTATTAAAGAGTTATATACATAAGCCAAGTCCTAATTTAAACATGTAAGTAAACTTCCTGCGACAACAAATCACGGTAGTAAGAACCCAAGCCCTGTGCTTTTATTTACCTGGATCTGACCATTCCGTTCGGATAACTTCTATTTCCTTTTTCTATCGGGCTTACGTTACAATTTAAAACCCTTTCTAACGTTGTAATGCATTGTCTCTCTGGGTTTTATTGTAATATATGTTTTACATTTGCGTTGTATTAGTATATTTTCTCCAAGGGTTACGTATAGGGGCCGCGGTGGCCAAGTGGTTAAGGCGTCTGACATTATGCTTCCACAAGCCCTATACCACTGCAACGCGGGCAGGCCGTAGGTCGGTGGTTTTTCTATGGGAACTCCTCTATGACTTTCCTCCACCACCAAAACCTGACACGGCCTTTAATGACCATAGCCGTTAATAGGACGTAAAACACTAACAAACCAAAAGGGTTACTAATGCGGTATGATTGTGGTATATTTTAACCATGTTGTTGTGGTATTTTGTTGGTAAATTTTTATTTTTTGCTGTTGCTGTTGTTGCATTTTGTGGTTTAATAAAGAAGGTCAAATGCAGTGAAGAAACTCTCTCAAAATTGGTTACTTGTCTCTTTCCTTTTATTATCATGTCTCTGTTGTTGAAGCAGTCATGACTACCGTTTTATTTAGCTAGTATTTTATCATGTTCATGAGCAAAGACAAAACGGATTAATTTCTAACCTGCATTTCCTAGTACATTGTAGGTTTGGTTTGGTTCAATTTTGTTTAACGTCCTATTAACAGCTAAGGTCATTTAAGGACGTGCCTCCATGTGTGTAGTGTATGCGTGCTTGCGTGTGTGTATGCAGGAGATAGGGCATGTCGGTGTGCTTGCCTCCTTGTGATAGCGCGGATATGATGCCGACTTTTTAGTGCTATATCACTGAAATACCATGCCGAAGGCACCCAGCACAGCATTCCGCCCCATCACATTATACTGACAACGGGTGAACCAGTTGTTGCCATTCCCCTAAATGCTGAACGTGAAGCAGGGAATAGCAGCCTTCCTCACCTGGGCAAACGCTCAACATTAAAGCCAAAAGTGAGGTGTTGCCAAGCAAGGCGTTATGTAATAAAAGGTAGTTAGAAGTAGAAAGAAAGATAAAGATCCTCAATATTGCAATGGGTGCAGCATACTTATTTTCGTCGCTTCTGTGTCCCAAAATAGAGGACACCAAAGCAAATCCGCAATTCTGCAGAGGGTTGTCACATTAGTCGCCTCCTACGATACCATGCATTGGATAACAGCACGTGTACTCTTTTCCCGGTCCCCGACCTGCAGGGGTGGTACATTGTAGGTTTCTTTGCATTGATTACATTCGGATCTGTAGACCCATATTCTAGAAGTAAATTTAAAACAAATCACTTGCAACATAACATATAACATATAAAATTGCATCAATATCTATAACCAAAAAGTGATCATCTCAAGAACAACTACCATTACTATACAGTCATAAATGAGTTGTTTATGATTTTCGGAAGTGTTTTGTCGGAGCAGCCTGGAACTAACGGTCATCTCACTTAAAAAAACTCTATGATAAACATGGTTAATTTAAGTTTATAATTAACTTGTGTTTCCTCCGCGTGTTCACAGTATCTCCTTACATTTAATGGTTTTACATTTCATGGATGATAAAAGAGAATGTCTGCACAGATTGTGGTGGACCAATAAATAGCATTACCTGGTTTGTCTTCCGGAAAGGCTTCAATTGCCGTGGAATGTATTATCTTTTTGCATTGGGTTCAAAGTCCTTGCATGCTGACGCTTTTTTCCTTTGAGATGTTCCATTCATATAGCTGCACTCGGTCCATCGAGTGTGTATTAGATAGGTCTATACGATATGCCAACGCAAAGTACTCTGAGTAACATACCAGACTGATCACAAACTTTACGCTGGGCACCTGTATCGGACGTCGTTTTACCTTCTTATTACCGTCCTATTAACAGCTAATGTCTGGTTTGGTTCGGTTTTATTTGTTTAACGTCCTATTAACAACTAAAGTCTCTTAAGGACGTGCCTCCGTGTGTGATGTGTTTGCGTCCATGTGTGTATGTGTGTCGGAGACAGGGTATGTTGGTGTATTTGCCTCCTTATGATAGCGCGGATCTGATGCCGAATGTAGTGTTATCTAACTGAAATACCATGCCGAAAGCACACAGCACAGCATTCCGCCCGGTCACATTATAATGGCAACGGGTGAACCAGTTGTTGCTATTACCTTCTATGCCGAAAGCTAAACAGGAATTAAAACCTACCAGGCTTAAGTACTTAGGTACATACCGGCCTGGGGACCGATCCCATTGCCTTCCTCACCTGGGCGAACGTTCAACATTAAAGCCAAAAGTGGGCCATTGACAAGCAATGCACCGGTAAATAAAGGTAGCTAAAAGTAGAGAAATACAATGATCCCAAATATTGCAATGGCACTTGGGTGCAGCAGATTTATTTTGGCAAATCCCCAATTCTGCTGGGGGTTCAAACATTAGTCACCTCTTACGGTATATTCTTTTCTCGATCCCCGACCTGCAGGGGTGTTTACCCAAAGGTACAAAGGACTACACAATATTGTTCAAACGTTGGCTGACATTACGACAAATCATGTTTTGAATACATTTATTTGCAATTTACAAAGATGAGAGTAATATTTTGTCTGATGATTTAGTGAAACCCTTTATGCCAGAAAACCGATATGAGAGCTCATTCTGCAATCCCATCATGCTTCATCCCTCTAAGCAGTTTGTACCGTCGTTTTTGACTAAGATAAATATACTGGCGTGCACTATACCCAGCAGGCAAAACCTACATGTAGTACTGAACAAGGCAAACCTACAGGTACAATGTATATATTAACGGAGATTGAACAATCATGTGATCGATTAATACAAGCCCCGCAATTGAGACTAATGCTGAGGTATTCACAACTATTCTGTAATCACGGTGTGATTTACTGCAGTCATACACTAGTATCAATGTGCCTGTCAATAATAGTCCCCCGAGTATAATACGACACTGGTTAGTGAATCGTACGTCCATATAATACTAGTATTATTTGCTTTCCTAACAAATAGTTATCTATTTTTTCTGATTTACAGGCTGTCTGATTGACCAAACGTGCAGCTATGGGCCAACAGTACAGTGTTGAAACTCTTACTGCTTCGGATGAAAGCGATGGCGGAAAATACTGGTCAAGCTTTGAGCCGTATCCAAGCAAAGTAGGTGGGCGCAAGCTAGCCTATCTTGGCCTGCTCAATGGTGGAGGACCAAAAGCCGGAGAGAAGTGTATCGTCAAGGTGTTAAAGAATGGCATTGGTACCTACGCGGACTGGAATTGTGACCTCAAAAAAGCTCGAGCAGCAAGGGATATGGCGAAAACGTTTGGTGTAGAAATGAAAGATCGAGATATCGATGCTCACTTTAACTTCATCATTCCAATTTTAGCGGAGATCGACGAGGTTTCGATGTTCACGTGTATGAACGTTGTCATGAGAAAACCTCGAAAGAAGTTTCACGAGTTTGAACTAGTATCGATAGAACCATACTTGGACGGAAAATTTGAGCTGTTCGAATTTGGATCGTCGAGTCATTATAACGCTGTCGTTGCGCATGCGTTTTCGCATTATACATGGTTGAAATCTCGTGGTGAATTTGTGATAACTGGACTGAAAGGAGTACAACAGTTGAACAAATACAACTTAACAATTCCTACAATACATTCTCGTTCCCAGAAGTTTGTACATACCGACAAAGGGTATAAAGGGATCGAGGATTTCTTTTCTACGCATCGCTGTAACGATTTATGTCGGGTATGGCCAAGACCAGATAACGTACTACAGCGGCCCAAACTAAGCAACAGTGAAATAGACATGATGTCACTCCAGCTACAGAACATGGCGGAAATACAACCAAAGGGGGCGGCACCCGCAGCTATGCGCATGTCTGTGAGTGATATGTATCTGATGCGAAACTATCCCATTAGAACCGGAAGTCATCAAGATAGTCGAAACTGCGCATGTTCTTACTTTGGATTACAGTGTTCTCATAAGCATCACCCAGTATCCATGGTAATGTGTACTACCAGGTCGGCATTGGAAAATGACGTGTTTCTATGACGCTTCACCCAATGAGGAGGCGTGCGGTATGTTTGAGATGGAATATCAACCAAAGACGTGAAAGTATGTAAATCAAAATTCATACAATGCAGAAGGGATAATTAATTACAAATAATTGTAGATGACGACACAGTTGCTTTCTAATTCTATTGTCTTTTTATGTTGATTACGCAGACCGATAATAGTGTTCAGTACTACCAAAGGTTTTGATAGCAATAATGTCTTTGAAAATACATTTACATAAGACGTTATGTCTTATCAATTACTTCTGAAAATCGAGCATAATATCAAAATTATATTGTCACGCGACAAAATACGTTATTCTTACTAATAAAGTTCCGTGTTCAGTGTTCCACATAGATATATTGATGTTTGTATTTGTACTCATTCATTGTATGGCTTTGAAAACTCGCACTACACTGAAAATGAAACAATGTTGTAAAACGTAAGATATGAGTTTAGGAATTGTGTTGACGCTATTGGGTATAGTGGTTAAGTTAAAATCATTCATGTTTTTCTGAACATATCTTTTTAGTGACAAGCGTTTCTTAACCAAAAAAAGGTCCACAAAGTACGGACTAATGGCGTACACAGTATTCGGACTTTTATCAATAGTATAAGGTCCCAAAGTTCATAAATATCAACATATCATGATATTGTTGTCTTATTGTAGTGACTTTGATTTTCTATCATCTCCTTGTAATTTTTTTTTAATATGTTTCCTTAAATCATATTTGTGAATCCTCAAAAAGCAGTTCATCGTATAAAATCTGTCACATGACATATCATTTACTGTTTCAGTCACAAACAAATATTACACAAAATCTCAGCATGTTATTTAAAAGCGTAACAACAGATAAATCACATGGCATGATAGTCAGTATCTAACAGAAATCCGTGTAGTATTTAACAATGGTGTTTGACAATGGTGAAAGAGATAAGAGGAAACGTATATACATGCTTGGTTGCATAAGCACGTGGGACTAATGCAGCAACTACACTTTACGTCATTACAAAATAAATCGATATTATTTTAATAAGATTCATCACTTTGAAAATATGTATGTTTCAAAGTTTAACTTTATACACCAACAATGTACTATCAAACGTGTCTCAACGTTTCAAGACCGGTTGGTCCCTTCGTCAACAGTCGTCTGTTGAATAGTCGAACTACTCGGTAGTGAAACGGACGTAGACCATTCAAACGTACAATTCGTCAACAGCCATTAGCTTAGTAAATGAACCATTCTCGATATCCAGGGGCTACGCTCACTAATGCTATCTGCACCCCAGGAATATGTCATAGCAAAATTGTAGGAACGGGGCTAGTTATTTGATTGGTCTCAGGTTAAGAAACCTGACCAATCGCTAGGATGATGCATGCAATTTGAAGATTACAAAGGAGTTACAACCGACCTCAAAGCCAGTCTATTGATCCGTTACGCGACCGCGAGATTATTTTGAACCTTTTCAATTTTGCCACGACATAATCCAGGGGTGGAGAGATCGAAAGTGAGTGTAAACCCTGGAGTTTCGATGATGCATTGGTACACGTCTGGTACATACGTACATTGTTTGTGTATAAAGTAAAACTGAGATACAGAAATTGTTTACGTTTTTGTTAATTTGTTGTTTTTTAACCCTTTGTAGAAAAGGAAGTATATTTTCGTGTATGTCTACACATTCCATGTTTTGTTTGTAATCTGTATCATTATGTTTTTATTATATTTGTTAATATAAACTTTAGGGCTGATTTGATACAAATAAAGACGATGTTATCCAAGTTTTGTTTCGTTATTTGTTTAAAGTATCAGTTAGATATCTGTATAGATAAACAAAAAATAATAAACCAATTATTTTATATCACAACATAAGACAAGCTTGTGCACAGGACTTAGCACATTGTATTTCTTATCAGTGTAACAAGAGAAAGTGAAATGAACGACCAGACCGGGATTCGAACCCTGGACCCTCCGAACTCTAAACGGACGTTCTACCAAATGAGCTTCCTGGTCGTCGAAGATTTACCCAGTCTAGTACATACGCATCAGAATACATGCAGTTCTTAAATAAGTTGTCTTTTCACACCACATCATAAAACAATGTGTCATTTATTAAAATATACAAAGAGCTATGGCGGGTTGCTATGCCTATTTCCCTAAAGCTATGATTCGCTATAGTGCGCGGATCCAACCGTGCACTGTTATGACGCGTCCCCAGGTATTTCTATACAGGTAGCTATATCGGAATCCCGTGTCTAAGCATAGATTATTGTAAACAGACGAATTCAATGCCATGGCTATAATACATGCGTTTCACGATAAAGACTCAACAAAATGCGTATTTCGCATTATGCTATATAAAACACAAGATCGTACAATCATTACCAACAAATTTGAAAGGATTTAGCTTTCATTACTACTGCCTACGTCATGCCGTTACATGTTTTCTTAAAAACACACATCTTGATTTTGTTCTTCCTTTACCTTAGAATGATAAAATTGCATATAGTTTTCGAATAGCATGTCTTACACGTGTATTGCGCTCCTAAACTTTCTGCACTTAAAACAAATGAGACTGGCCTCGACGATGAATTTTCCCGCATGTTCAATAATATCTTCATTATTTTTTTGCTTTGCCTTTCTTTTTATTCTGACGCAACAATCCCATATATTTTTTTTTTATTTCGGCATCGTTTGTTTGCGTTAAGATAATGAATAAAAATACTAGTTGGAGGGTAAAACAATTCATCAATATTTAAAATGATGTCTCAACTACAAAGTGTAGGTGTACTGTACACGCATACAGGGATTTGTTGACATGATTCCATAGAAGATAAATCAAAAGGTATGTTATTAAAATATCAATAAAATGTTGTATTGATTTGAAAAATATTTATCACTTAATTAAGGAAAATGATCACATGCCTAAATATTAATTTAAAAAAAAAGATAAAAAGTGTATCTGAATGTGAATTCGAACCTACATTGTTCATATTCTCTTGTCACAAGCTAACTGCGTTACACATTAGGCTACATCGGATATAGACAAAATGGAAATATAAACTGCTTTAACCCAAGAAACATCTGTCGAAGTTTTAAAAACATGATCAACCAAGTTTTTCATTATTTTCAGCACTTTCTCAAAGGAGGACCACTTTTCCGGAATACGATTTGTTTTTTGCATATTACATCACGGAATCAAAAGGGTTATTCAAAAGTTGGTCCTCGGATGGGAAAGTATTGAAAGTATTTTTTTAAGTCTGGGAAACCCTTCACTTTCATTGATATAGTGAATAGGGCTATAGTTGCAGTTTTATATTAACAATACCGAATATCTCAACAGTTCAAAAATTCATATTCAATTGGTTTTATATCTATTCCATGCATTCTTTGCGACTAAATATTACTAACTCATCAATATTTTTTTCTGTTTTCAAAAATGCCGACTTTGGGAAATACGGGCAGTTTTCCGCCATAGCTCTTTATATGTGAATTAAAACAATGACAAAGCATGCAGGCGTAATGTTTGTTATGCCAAACGGTTATTGCAAAATTAGAATTGTAAATATCTGACAAAACTATTGAAAAAAGTCTTCAAAAAATGTGAATTATTACATAGTAGTCGAAATCAAAAATGGTTCATGCTATTGAAACTGATGAATCTTCAGATTTTTTAACGACCGACTATTCTAAGCTATTCTACGTGTGGTAAGCATACTCAAACCCAATCTAATTAAAATCAGGTCCGAATTCTCTTAGAGTATCGTAGAGGAACGGGAATTCGGATTTGATTTTAATAAGATTGACTCACCCCGTCATACACCACTTAATAGACATGTTTCTGTATTTTTGTTTTTGTCAATATTTTGTCCTGACTTCCATTGTGAGTATCAAATTGGCGAGATTATACTATTGAATTGAAATAATTGAGCCTTCCATTTGTGTTGCATAACAATCCGAAAATTTTAACAGGTTTCTGTGGTACTATGAATAAAAAAAGGACGTAGTTCGCCACTGACACCAGTTCTTCTTGTCAATGTGACGCACGTCAGACCGCTTTAAATAACGAAGTGACTACATTTGAATCAAACGCTGAAGTGACTAAGATTACTGATAGGCTGTCCCATCAATATCGTTTCACAGAACATGCACACAATACACCGATAACATTAAATTCAGTGACAGGTAACAAATAATGTCTTAGAAATGTAACTAAAATATATTTTGATTGAACGGGGTTCTTTTAATTGTTATGCACTTTAATTGTTATGCACTTCACTGAAAATACATGTAAATTGTATACCACAGCAGTCCAAAACGGCAACATGATGAAAAACAAATACAATTTTATCCTTATACAGAGATTAAATCAAATGTATATGTCATATGGAAGCTACAGCCAGAGTACTGTCGATATCAAATGTATTATCCATGAAGTATTAACAGACAGAGTTACCAAATCCATAAATCGTACAAAACGTTCAAATACATACACAATACACTGCTGTAATTCTAACCCTGCAGGTTTAAAAATATGTGTCAATTGTATACCACTGCAGTTAAAACCGGCATGATAATGAAAAACAAAAACTGTGTTATCCATACTCTACGGAAACCGGTTAGTGCCACACGAAGTAAAATAAAATGTCGTAATTACGACTTAGTTAGTTATGTCGTAATTATGACATACTAAGTCGTAATTAGTTAACTGAATGTTGCACATTGCACCTCTGTAATATCATTTTATGCACAGTTTCGTATTTTTCTCTGCGCATGCTCGGAAAAACTTTAACTTCCTTTCGTGGTTAAGTCGAAGCGGTGCTGTATATAGTCAACCTTTGTTTTCTGTTGTATTTTATTCATTTTTCACAAATTGTGTACATACTTAGTCGTAATTACGACACAAAAGTTTTACTTGATGTGGCACTAACCGGCTTCCGTAGTATTCAGAGTACTGACGATATTAAATGTATTCTCCATGTAGTATTTCTTAAATACAAAAACCAGACAGAGTTATCAAATGCATACATCGTACACAACTTTCAGATGCATACACAGTACACTGTTGTAAGTCGGATTCTGCGTCTATATAATTTCAAACCACCAAACAGTACTTGGGTAGAAAATACAAAGTTTAAAAATCCTTATGGAGAAAACTGTCTTTCGGCAGATGTAGAAATTGAGCGTCTTAAGACTGATACTTATCTCCAAATACCTCTACGGATCACGTGCCTAATACGTTTTGTATATAAAGTAGGAAGTATTATTGCGAATTCACAATTACGATTGCTTCGGTCTGGTGCCAGCATTTCATCTGTACAGCTAGACATAGTCGAGATATACGATGGCAACGTTCCCCTTAAGTAGTCCCCTGGGCTTAACAACTATCCTCAGCATTGCGCTACATCTTATTTCCTGATCCAGAGCTACCTGTACAAGCCAAAACCACACAGAACCATCGCAAATCAATCGATAAGCTAATCAAGATAAAACACGTTGTTATTTGCAAAAAATAAATAAAAATAAAATTGTAAAACAAAATCTAAATAAACGTCTTATTTTATTCATACAAGTTGAGGTCAAGTAGCATTACAGTTCGGTAAGATAGTTGTTTCTGCAAACACTACACGATATAGAACAATAAATCGTCCATAGCGTACAACCTCTCAGGTAGAAAATCATAGCCAAGTCGTTTATCGGTTCGCATGACACATCTGTCAGGGGAATCCTCACGGCTCTCTGGTGTAGTGAAAAACTGTAAAAATGAACATATATTTAGCTGCTTATATGAAGGGAAGTGAGCGTCTTAAAATGTACATGTGGTGGAATTGTGGACATCCTCTCTTTCGTCTTGAGCTGTTGCCATGGAGATTCACAATATAGGTCCAAAATGTCCCGGCTTTATTTTATTTTTTATTTACATATTATATTTTTTTACTTTAGCATTATTACTTTATTTCCAATTCAAATGCAATCTACTCTTATGAACTACGAGTAATGAAGAAAAGACAAATAAAGTGTAGTAATCGTGATTCATAATTGCAAACTTACGTAAATAACAACGGTAAATGTAATACGACTGTCGAAGTTATACCAAACTTCAAAGTAAGTTACTTAAATTTATAATTTTCAGATATTTTTTTTCCAGTAAAACTAAATTTATCATGCAGTGTGTTTACAATGTCTGCCGCAGTGTCCATCGGTTTTTGACTCATTGTATACAAATCGCGTCTTGTAGTATTCCAAGGGAGTGAACTCTGATAAACAGGTACAAGGACGTAGCTAGGCCAAAACTTTCAATTTACTTAAAGTCTTAGA